CTTGTCATCTATTATTTGTAGATACAGTTTTGCTTCTGTGAGCCTCCGAAACTCAAAATATTTGCACAGAATACATAGGTGAAGGCTCTTCTGCCCACAGCTGAAAGCAAATGTAATAAATACTTTTAATCCATCTATGCTGAAAGATTAAAATAAAAATGATCTTTCCTTGTTTAGCTGGTTCATTGTGTGGTAGATTGTTCCTGAAAGGTCTAAGGGGAGGGGTATGGGAGGGTGTTTGCAAAAAAACAAAACAAAACAAAACAAAAACATTTCAGTGAGCTGGGTGATTTTTCAACCAGTCAATCTATGCTTAAAATGAAACCACTAATCTTAAAATGAATTTTTTGGCATACTCCATTACACTTTTTAACCATGCTTATAAAACAGGTAGACTTCAACTTTATATGGTACTTCTATAACTTATGCTAAAACATAATTACAGAGTATTCCATTTCAATTATTATAATGTCTCATTAAACAGCCAAATCCTAATCAGAGTTCTTTCAACTATACACATTACTACTTTAAACTCCTGTCTGTAGTTAGATCCAACCGTGGCATTCATAAATAGTACTTATAAAGAAGCAGTTAATTTTATCACATCTACTCGTGTTAGAAGCTACTCAGGATGACACTGAACTGCAATATAGTTCAGATATTTAAAAGTGCTCCTAAAACTGAAGCAAAAGAAATTATATATTTTAATAATATATATCAATTATATACATATATGTATATATCAATTATGTGTCATAGATGCAAAGATAAGATTTTAAAGAGCTAAAGACCTTTTGAGCCAAGATGAACCATAATATTACATAGAGTAAAATCATTTTAGCTTAAGGATTCTCCTCTGTGTAAAGTTAATGACATCTTTCCATGTTTTTTTGGATGGCTCTCAGTGGAAAAACTAAAAGCAAAGCTCAGAAACTGTGGTAGGAGATGATCTGTGATCTCCCTGGTGGACCTAATTATATTGTTTGTTCTCCTTTTGTCTCAGCTCAAACACAAAAGTCTCCTGCAGACAACTTGGTGCGTTTCCAACCTCATCTTCCAATGCTATCAAATCAGAGAGAGGAACCAGGGCCACAGGAGTTCAGATCCATGTGGGCTTCTCTTACAGTGAGAAGAGGAACGCTGCTGGTGAGTCAGTAAAGAGGGAAGAGCCAAGGGAAAGGCCGGTCCAGCGGATCGTGTTCTGTCATTTTCTGATGAAGACTAATAGTCAAATTCTCCAAACTTACCTGGCCCTGAATCCCAATGTTAGCTACAATAAATAATACTCTAACTTCTTTATAACTCTTCCAGTTTGGAATACTCTAGTGTGCCCCGCGTGTGCATGTCACTTGCCTTCTCCTTGCCGCTCCAGCATGCTTTGAAAAAGTTGCTTAACCTCTCTAAGCACATGGACACTCATCTGTAAAGGTAACATATCCTGCATATCAAGGCATATGAAGGTAGAGACATTCTGCAAAAGTGCCTCAACACAATGCCTGACATAAGGCAGGCTCTGAACAAACAACCACCTCAGTGTCTATATCCTCCTTCCCTACAAAACTAACTTGTGCACTACACTTGTGACCCGCAGCTTCCTATTTCCCTGGGAACGTTATGTCAACTGTTATCCCTTTTGGCCCCTGACTCTGAACTCTCCTTTCTTCTGGTTCCTGAAAAATTAACTGAAATGCACTGGGCATGTAGCTAGTAGTAAGTCCCAGACATACTCTGCATATTACTTTAACCCACCTCTAACTTTGCCTAGAAGTATTAGTCTTTCTCCTTCCCTTGATGAATTGAAACCTCTTCCTGACGTTTTTCACAGGAGGATCCATACATAGTCACACAAAATATGAATACCTGCTTTGTGCTTTTAGAAAGTATGTGTACACGCCATCTTCCAGAAAAAATCCCAACTTAATAAGACTCCATCTTGGAAAGAAAAGAAGGATGAAAAGAAGGAAGGAAGGAAGGACAGATGAAAACCAAAATAAATAATTCTTTCAGAAAGAGGAGGGAGACCTGAAGCAAGACCACAGGGAAGATAATTTTAAAATGAAACAGAACAAAAAAGAAAGCTATAAATAGCTCCAAAAGAAAGATGGATGGTACATCAATGAAACAAAAGCAGAATGCTATAAAAGAACTTTCAGAAAACAAAGCCTCTTGCAATTTAAAAATGTGATTGCCAAAGTTGTTTTTATTTGAAAGTTAGTGGATTGAATGAAAATTTCTAAGAAATTTTAGAAGTTAAGGAAATGAGAAAAAATTATAAATAGTAAAAGATTAATACATCTAATTCTGAAAAGCCTTCTGGAAAGAAAAGAAAAAAATAGCAGGGAAAAATTACCAAGAAAAAACATTTCCCAGAATTGAAGGATACAAGTTTGTATACTGAAAGACACACTGAGGTTTTGAGCTGGGTCAGTGAAGACCCAACCCAAAGCATATTGTCCCACAATTTCTTTTCCTAGGAATGAAGAGAAGATCCTAAGAAGTTCCAAAGAAAGAGGTTTTTTGTTGTTTTTAGTTTGCAGGATTGGGGCTTAAACCTAAGACCTTCACACAGATTTATATCCCTAGCCTCCTCTTATGCCCCTCTTTTTGTTATCTGCCTTTTAAAATTTGATACAGGGTCTCCTTGAGTTGCCAAGTTGCCCAGTCTGGGCTGGAATTGTGATTTTCCTGCCTCAGCCTCTCAGAGTGCTCAGATTGCAGGTGTGGGCCAGCACACACTGTGTAAAGAGAGGTTTATAAAAGCCACAGAGAATCTAAAGTTGCTTTTCTCTGTAGTTATCTTATCAGTTAGACTACAATAAAACAGTACTTTCCTAATTCTGAATAAAAATAACACGGTAAGAACCACATACCTAAATCCACTTTCAACCAAGAAAAGAGAATAAATATATACTCAGGAAAAGAAAAGCTCTTAATCTTTAATGTGCCCATTCTTGGGAAGCTAGCAAGGCAATTTCCATCAAAACTCAGGGACCTAACTGAAAAGCTGAAACAGGTTTTTCAAAGCTGAGGAAAGGATGAGAATATCTCTTAGTTGGACAACAGTAGGAAGGAACAGCTTTGTAGCAATCTAAAAAATAACCAGAAACAGTAAGTTCGAGGAAAAGCAAGAGGACAGAGGCTGCAGGAAAGAGACCTCAATGGAGTAGACAGGGAGCGAGAACAGTGGAAATAAAATAGTAACACGAGGTGAATATCATGGTTTTACTGCTCTCTGAGATTATTTGCAACTCTAAAACTAAACAATAAAGAAGAGACACATATTAATTTTAAAAAGTTGATTAAGAAAAGAAATAAAATTACAATATATTACTGGGTTCAGCCGTGAATGGTCTTCGCGCAGTCACAAAAACACACACAGTCACAAGGAAACAATGACGCTTTCCCAGTACCAATGTCATGTTAAAAAGACACAGAGGACAACCAGAGGGGACTGGACGTAATTATGTATCTGTTTAAATACTGACAAATAAATTTGTAGATGTAAATTTGTTGTTTTTATGTCTCTGTTTTCTTCCACATGATTTTAAATGGCTTGTGTCTCCTCTTTTATTCTTTAACGAATGCACAGTAATTTTACAAATTGTTCAGATTCTTGCCAAAAGGAAGTCCAGGAGAGGCAGGGCAAGAGGAGAGGGGAAGGGGAGGTAAGTAGAATTCAGTGCAGGCACCTAATCGCCTCAATGAACGTAAACATTGTACATCATGAACGTGAGCTGAGATGAATAATATCAACAAGAATGAAAGCGGGGAAAGACAATTTAGAAGGAAGTGAGGTGGCAGGAAGGGGAAGTGAATTTTATTTTTATTTATTTATTTATTTTTCTCATTGAGTTTATTGTTACTTGTTAGGTATACAGTACAGTTACATTCATTATTGGGATCTTGTACCTGTACATGACAGGTCCTGGTTCTCGTTTTTTCCCCTGGTCCCTGCCCTCCCTTCACCCGCTCCTTGGGAAGTGAATTTTAAAAAGAAAGAAACTAACTATATCCTGGACATGTACCTATTTCCTAAGATGAATGTAAACTTCCCATACTACAAACATATACTGGTTAAAAAAAGAAAGAATGAAGTTCAATGTAGTTGATTTCTCTTCTGTGTCCTTTTTTATTACACATTACCATGATATTTCAATAAACTTCAAAATGTCCATGGTATTAATCTGCGGGGGTCATTTGGATTTGGTTTTACACCTCCTCCATATCTCTGGCTTTCTTCTTTGCATATAAGCACATATATTGTTATTCCTAATCACCTTGGATCAATTCCTTACCGTAACACACATTTAATCCTTGGAAATGGACTTGTAGTTTACAAAGATGGAAAATTCACACTTCTGCTGAGTTGACACACCATTACCTGCACACAGACACTTTGTATCTGTTGTGTTAATATTTACTGATGTGTTAAGGTAATAATGGCCCATCTGCTTCTGCTATGAGGCACCTTTTGGCTATAAGGGTGGAAATTAAGGACAGTGTTACTCAGCGACAAAAAAGGGGTGACAAATATATAAGGGCTGGATCACTAGCCAACAAGTAGGGGCCAAATACTCCGGTGGATGCAAGCTTGGACTCTTTTCATAAAGCTTCCTTTCCATCAAAGGCATTTTCTGATATTCCTGATACTGAAACATTACAAGGTAAAGAATTCCCTGTTTCTAGAAAAGTCTTATTGGAGAAGGAAACGCTGACTTAGTGTAAAATATATGGTTTATCTCAAAGAGAGGTTAAAGATTTGATGCATTATAATATTAATTTTCAGATTAGAGAAGGGAATGCGGAAAGTGAACATTTTGAAAGTATTTGAAAATAGAATACCATTCAGGGATTTTTTAAAGTCAATACCATTGAGATCCCTTTAAATTATATTTAACTTTTTTAAAGAATTAGGCTGTAACTAGAAATTACATCTCTCAGGACTGCAGGAAATTTCTTGATTTCAGGACTGACATTCTTTTCAGAAAATCTGAGAAGCGATGTGCCTCCTAAAGCTTCCTGTAGGCCTCCTTCTTCTCTCTGTTGCATTAAAGGAGCTGAAAGCTACACCCACGGCAAGGTCAGTATCTTTACAATCTTGTTTCTTCTGCATGGGGTGGGAAAGTGAGAGTAAAGACTGCTACATAACTACCCTGGTACCACCAGAATTCTACTAAAGCATGCTTACTACAAGTATTTGAAACTACTCCATTGTTCCTGAATTCCGTGTTCTTCAAGGAATAATGTCAGTGGCTGCTGATTCTCTCTTAGGGAACTTCTGACAGAAGGAATAAATACAAAAGTTCCCCTGTTGTCAAGAAACCCGCTCTCGGAACTTAGAGGGACAAAGCCAAAACGTGCAACAGCAAAAACTATCAGGTAGTGATTTCTACTGTATTAACCTGATTCTGAAACAAAACGGAGAGATTTAAGGAAAACATATTTTATATCAGGTGGAATTTTCTTATATATTTACATAGGTTTTCTTCCTCAAGGGGTCCTGGAAATATCTAAACTTTTCCATCTTCTTCTAGAAACTGAAGTATATAGAGTAGTCAGAGTGGTAAATTTAAAGTGTTTAAGAGGTTAGCCTAAGAAGAACTAGTGAAAAGGCTCTTTGCGGCCAGGGGATTCACTCTATATTGTTAGCAATTCTGTTAATGAAACAGAATGATAACAAGTTATTTTCTGTGAGGTAATTTCTGAACTGCTATAGATATAAATTAATAATGCGTAAGACGTTTTTAGCACGCGTGCCCCATCAGGATTTCCTAGGAAGGCTTATTTAAAGGTGTGATGTCATTTAGGAAATTTAAGGAAGCCTAAAAATCTATGCCAGGTGAAATGGTTAGCAAGAATAGTAAAAGGAAAATGGTTAAAGAAAAACCTTTAAAACTGCAATTCTCTGTTTATTTAAAAGATCTTGAGCCCTCACCCCCACATCTGACATAAATAAAAAAACAAGAATTTGTTGGTGCTTAAATCAGTTTCACTCAATGTAGTTTTGAGAAATCGATCTCATACACTCTTTAAGACCAAGGGAAATTAGGGTTATCTTTGAAAAGACTCCTTGAAAAGGACTCTTCTTGTTAGAATCATTGTCTTCTTGTCTTTATTTTTGTTCTATATTTTTCCAGGTAGCATGTAGTGTGGAAAGGCGATGTGTAAAGATGTGTACAGGAGCTATGTATAGTAAATAGCAAGAACCATCAGAGAATTCTCTGTGTCATTTCAGGGCTTATCTACTTGACAGGATGTTTTTCCCAGAACTGATAGTAATTTTCAATTGTCTTTTTCATGAATGAAAGTTACCTTAAGGCTGTTGGGAAGTTTCTGATAAAGAGAACACTTGAATCATGGTGGGAAAATTAACAGTATTATCTAGTCTATCTATCAATATCTTGATCTTTTCTTTAATTAGATGTAGACATTTGCTAAATACATTTACCACATATGTCTTTGTGAACGTATGATTCTTATGAGTGGATCTTCACTCAGAAAAAGAATAATCCACAAGATTACCTAATATCAAATTGCTCCACAAGCTTTTACTTTGAAGTTTTACTAGGTATTCTTAAAAGGTATTCTTCAAATTACTTTTTTATATTTTTCCTGAAATCAGGAATGTCTGGTCACTTTTAAAAATGGAGGATGATTTACCATCTCAAACTGTATATAATAGTTTAAAAATCTCATAAAAACCTAAGAAAATCTGTAAGAAGTGTTGAAATTTTAAACTCCTTAAAGACGAAGTGATGGATAGATGTCATTTTCTTCATGAAATTCAATCATCTCACTTGAGATATTTGCAACTTACATACATGTATGTGTTGAGATTTAGAGATGACAAACTGATATGCCAGAAAGTAGGTTCATCACTTTCTACTCATGACTAAAGCAAAAAGATCACACACTTTCCCACTTCTTTACATTCTCTTACTAAGATCTGCCTAGAAGATAATCAGAGAGGAGTCAAAAGTACAGTTAGCTAAAAGTAGTCAGTATCAAGCTGCTGAGTGACGTTCACCATAAGTCCCTATAGGAGCTTACACACCTCTACATATGAACGCTAAGGCCTGCGAGCAGGAAGCCATTTAAAATTGTCGAAGCCCTTGAAACCAGGATGTTTCCAAAGAGACAAGTCTAAGAGTGAAGTTTGATTTATTGGTGTCACTGGCCAACCTCTCTCATAGTCAGTTACCTCTACTTGTGTATACTTATGTCTACTTATGTCTACTTATGTCGGTACACGGTCAGTAGCTTGATGTTTGTTCCTAGTGAGGTAAGAAGACAGGACTTAATCTTCTAGGGTCATCAAGGAGGAAAAAACATGCCTGAAAATGGAAATATAATGTCTTTCATTTTCCACATCAGCCATATTTTCTCATCCTAATGACTCCTGGGGTGAGTGTGTACATACAGAATAGTATGTATAGATAAAGGATCTTGCTTAGGAAAATAATCTCACAATTATGAAATAAACATAAAAGCTCTTATTTTTTTTTAACTTTTTTTTTCAATACCAGGGATTGAACTCAAAACCTTGCCCTTGTGAGGCAGGCATAGTACCACTGAGCTAAATCCCAGCCCTCTTGTTATTTCCTTTGTGGAGAATAACAACACTTTTGGATAACTCAAGTAAGGTAACATTTCTCCTAGAACAATTTTAAATCCTATAATTAACATTACAAAGTATTATCAAAGTAAAGCTGGCATATGGAGTATTTTACAGTCTGTTCCAGGCATTTGTCAAACACATCTTTGGACAATTCCCTGGTTTGACCCATGATGTTCTATTAAAGTCTGTCAGTTTGTAGTGTTTGGGCCCAATTTCAATTCCTGCCACTATGTTCAGGAAAAGTTCATATTTTAGAATTTAATGTCCAATATTTGGAAATTCTTGTTCATCTCCTTACACCATTAAATCATTCTTTGAAAGTACAAAATGGTCATGGTTACTATACCTTCAAGTGATGTAATTGAACAGGGGTAGTGTGAATAGGATGGATACAGATAAAGAATTTAGGTCTCAACATGGGTTTCCTTTGCCTGGTTGCTTTGTCAAAATATATTTTTACTCAATAAATACCCAATTCACATGACACTGGCAGAAGAGTTTTCTGTATGTTGAAGAAAACAGGGCAGGAAAAAGCTGGGGAAAAATTTTCACATGAAATTTTGAACATTTGCATTTAGACTATTTCTTCATAGAGACAGAGATAATGAAATATTCCTTCATACAAAGGACATGCATTGAGATAGCCCCAAGTTATATGTATTGACTCACTTCTGGCCATTAAGTTTTTAGCTCTGTAACTACCAATTTCTACTGTATGTATATCTAAAGTTTCATCATATTTTAATTTCCATGAAGCTGAAAATTAAAGCATTTTCTTAATAATTAGCAAGAAGTAAGTAATGTTATTGCTCTGGATTCATCTACAACGCCATCTGGAAAGCTCCTTGTTATAGTTTGTGACTAGAATGTAGGTCCATGTCTGCTATGGGCTTGATCTCCAGCCCACAGTGCTATTCAGAGGTATCGGAGGCTGTGAGAAGTAGGCCCTAGTGGGGGATTATACATTATGGGAGGAATGTTCACAAAGGGGTTTGGGGACCAGAGTCTCTTTGTTCTGCCTCCCACAACCATTATATGAGCATCTTGCTCCCCCATGCCCTCACAGCATGGTATACTGCCTCACCACAGGCCCAAAAGCAACAGGGCCACCTAACCATGGACTGACACCTCCATGACTGTGAGTCAAAATAAACCTTTCCTTTTCTGAAATTTATTCATTCAGGTGGTTTGTTTGTTTGTTTGTTTGTTTATTTAGAGAAATGGAAAGCTGTCTTATACACACATTGAAACAAAAGATGGTATAAAATGTAGAGTTGATACAAATTTTTAAAATACAAAAGTTTAAATTGAAGTGAAATTTTAAATCAGAGTTGTGATTTCTAGCTTCTTTTTTTGCTTAAAAATGTGCTGGATATGAAGGCCTTTGATATGAAAAAGTCTTTTGATTTTTAAAAATTAACTTAGCTCTATAACAAAAACTGTTAAAAGCACAGGATCCATGTAGGTAGCAGGAAGGTGGTTATGATAAGAATAAGAAAATGCTAAGAGTAAGAAAATGCTAAGAGTAAGAAAACTCCTACACTGCAGAGGATGCCTGAATGGGTGACAAACTTGATTTCCCTTGAGACTTCATAACATTTGACATTCTCTCTTCCATACTTCATTACATTTTATTTTATTGGGGTAAAAACACTAAACTGAGCTCTACTTTTTAAACAAATTTTTAAGTGTATAATGTATTATCATATAGACACAGTGTTTTACAACAAATCTCTAGAGCCTATGGATCTTGCTAGATTAAAACACTTTGCCCGTTGATTAATTAATCACAATTTTTCCTCCACCGGTTGTTGGTAAATATGATTTGATTACCTGATTCATGAATTTGAGTATTTTAGATATTTCTTTATATTTGCAGCCTTGCAGTGTTTATCCTTCTGTGACTGGCTTTTTTTTTTTTTTTTTTTTTTTTTTTTTGG